GGCTCATCGGGAGGGACAGGTAGTCCATACAACCCGCACACCCATACTTCGCCCTCATTGTTCATGAAGTGAGTGCTATTACCGGACGGACACACCCTTACAATGTTCACCAGATTTCGTATGGGTTGTGGTGTCTGACAGATACCGTTATTTCTCATAAAGTGCCCCAAATGTTGGTTCCCATTGTAGCCCCAACTGAATACCTGTCCCTCAGTGGACACCGCGAACGACGAGAAATTATAGCCACAAATCGCCTTAATCTTCACGCCATTGGGGAACTCCAGTTGCGTAGCCGTTTCCACTCTTTTCTTGCGATTCAGTCCGACGCCTACCTGTCCAACGTTATTACCGCCCCATCCATAGACATCGCCATCGGAGGTCAGGGCCAGCGAGTGATGGAAACCACAGCTTATGTCGACGATATCCAGGCCCCAAAGCCCGGCCACCAGTTTAGGTTTTTTATAGGCATTGCCGACAGGTTTGGCTGCTTGGCCTACCTGTCCCTGGTTGTTGAGACCCCAGGCGTATACCCGATGCTCATCCGTGAGGCCGACCACGAAATCCAAGCCATTGATAAAGCGCTGACACTTTTGGCGATTCAGTTGATGGACAATCTCTTCGGAGTGGACAGTCTTGTTGTGTCCCAACCCGAGTGCCCCGAAGGTGTTGGCGCCCACACCGAAGCACACGTCATGACTGGTGACAAACAGGGCGTTGAATCCGCTTTTGTCGTCAAACACATGGATATATCTTATGATTAGTTTGAGTTGTTCAGGGATTTCATCGCAGATCTCAAACATGCTTAACATATTAGACGACATTTTTGGTGAATTCAGTATTTAAACTAAATTATAGCTGAATTTAAGCACAAACTGAGTGAATGCTTTTAGTCTATACTTTGGGAACAGACTGTTTGGGAATAAAAACTCGTATCATAGACAACTTATATGAAAATATATTATTTTATCTATTGATCTTTACTTTAGTTAATTGTTTTACATCAAGGTGTATATGAATTTAACATGTTAACTGTATTAGTGATTGAATGTCAACATGCATGTACTGTATGTGACCTTAAATATGTCTACCTGAATAAAATAAAAATATTTCCATACATTTAATATAGAATTCAAAATATTTTGTACTTTATAAATCACCAGTCAGGTTTGTGTGTAATCAATAATTTATTGAACTTAAATTACTTATGAAAAGTTTATAAGGTTTCGAAAAATAAAAAATACTGCATCTATTAATTATAAGTAATTTTATTCAAATTTAATAAATTATGTTTAATCAATTATTTTAATCTACTTTTTATAACTTTTTAATACATTAATTTATATAATAAATACTGTAACTTTAATTTTTAATTTGGTGAAGTTAATTAACAATGAAAAATTAGATTAGAAATAACCTAATACTATACTAATTACATACAAATAATATTTATAATTTTTAATGATATAATTCTTGACAAAAAAGTCATAAATAATAAATTTATTTACGGTTAGGGCATAAGTTATAAGAATCACCAGTTTTGGGATTATTTATTGTGAGATCCCTTATACTATTTACGAGTCGACTTTCGGACGGTCCAGTGGACAGACTGCCCGGTGTTTGTGTATACCTCGACACAAACTTTTCTGACACCTCTTCCTCCACTTTCTCTTTCTTTACGAAACTCCTCATCAGATCGTTATTCACTTCATTCCCATCGTTGACTTTAATGGTTTTGTACGACAACTGAAACTTTGATGCATAAAAGTCTTCGTAACTGCGATACCCTGAGGCACAGAACTCATTGTCATCCATAATGGTATACACTTTACCCATAACCATAGCCACCGGAATCGACACCAACTTCTGGTACAGTATCTCGTGGTGCAAGTCATCAGCCCTGATATCCAGTATTTGTACGGCTTTCCACTGGACATCTTTACCATCCTTTGAATCGTTTGAATGTTTCTTATATTCCCCGCAAAAGTATACTTTTCCGTCGTTTGCGAGAAAGTGAGTGCATTTACCGGACGGACAGATAGCTTTGATGTTTGTCAGGTTTACTATAAGTGTGGGTGAGTTGTAGGTCTCGTCTCTGGAAACATAATGACCCAAATGGTGGTTCTCGTTATTACCCCAACTAAATACCTGTCCCTCAGATGATATCGCGAATGAGGAGTAATTATAGCAATAAATAGATTTAATTTTGCAGTCGTTGGGGAACTCCAGTCGAGTCGGTGTCTCAACCACTTTCCTTTTCATACCGATGCCCACCTGTCCCTCGACATTACTACCCCACCCGTATACATGACCATCGGAGGTAAGTGCCAGCGAGTGATGGAAACCACAGGTGATATCAACTGTCATTAAACTATTGAGTTTTGATATTAATTTCGGTTTCTTGTATTCATGATAGGCTGGACGGGCTAACTGTCCCCTATCGTTGAGACCCCAGGCTATCACCTCGTGTTCACCAGTCAGGGCCACCACAAAGTCCATACCATTGACAAAGTGGTGACACTTTTGACGACACAATTCCGGTATGAGTTCGTAGGCGTCGACGGGATGGTTGTGTCCCAATCCCACAGATCCCGTGATGTTGGCGCCCATACCGAAGCATATGTCATGAATGGTGACAAACAAGACGTTGAATCCATTTTCATCATCAAACACATGGATATATCTTACGAGTGGTTTGATTTGTTTAGGCAATTGCTCACAAATCGCAAACTTGTCTAATATTGAGCTCATATTATAATTAAATATTGGATATACAAAATATTAATTAATAAATTTTAGTTTAAACTTTGTATTATTATATTTACTAATTAAATCAAATCAGTGACAATGATAACCAATGAATGATTAGATTTTAAGTGTTAATTACATGTGAGCTTTGGACAACCATAGTAAGGTTAGCTATTTTATATGTATTATATCTAATTATTAATTTTATACAAGTCAATTATTCATAAAATATTCATAGGTTCATGGTAAACGAGAACTATTATAACTTATCAGCTTAAAGATATTACTGGATTTTAAAGTATTAATAAAAATATCTAATACAGTATGAGTTTTCCAATGAATAATCTCAATATTTTAAACTTTAAAACACATTTCAATTGTTAGTTTTATTATAAATCGTAAATTACAAATTAATTTATCATTTAATTGTAACCCAAAAAGAGTATTACAAATAATTTAAGATAATAATGATATTTAATTAAAATAATTACACAAAATTACAATTAATTCAAATCAATTATCAACCATTAATCCGCAACTTCTTAACAAATTCCTCGACATCTAAGTCTCGATTACCATCAATGCTATCATTCAAACAAATCGTTTTATAAGTCATATGAAACTCATCGGCAAAATAGTCGACAAAACTCCTATAATTAGTCTCCAGAAACTTGTGTCCACTCAATATATCGTACACTTTATCACATCCGAGTGCCACCGGAATCGATACCATACTCTGATAGGACACCACACGTTGCAAGTCCTCAAACCGTGGCTCCAGTCCCTTAAGAGTCGGCACGTACTGACTGAAACCCCCGGCCTCGTAGCCACGGATATCACCCCAAAAGTATACCTTTCCATCGGTGGTCAGGAAATGTGTGGTACAGCCGGGCGGACACACATTACGGATATTCCAGAGATTTTCGATAAGTTTAGGCGCCTGGAGCTGACCGTACGGTTCCATATAGTGTCCCAAATTATTGGTGGTATTACAGCCCCACGAGTACACCCGTCCCTCCACTGTCAGTGCGAATGAGGAGTAATTAAAACAATAAATTGACTTAAGTTTACATCCGTTGGGGAACTAGAGCTTTTCCGGTCTGACCACCACTTTTGCCTTTCGATTCACACCCGCCTCCCCCTCCCGGTTCCGACCCCATGCGTACACCTCGCCATCGGTGGTCAGGGCTAGCGAGTGGTGAAAACCGCACGATATGTCCCGGATCTCCATATTCTTGAAGTGCAATATTTTCTTAGGTTTCAAGTAAGCACAGGTAGATTTTCAAGCTAACTGTCCCCTCTCGTTGAGACCCCAGGCCAGCATCTGGTGCTCACCAGTGAGGGACAGCACGAAATCCATGCCATTGACAAAGCGGTGACACTTTTGGCGACACAATTCAGGTATGGGTTGGTAGGAGTCGACGGGTTGGTTGTGTCCCAAACCTAGTGATCCCGTGGTGTTGGCGCCCATACCGAAGCACATGTCATGAATGGTGACAAACAAGGTGTTGAATCCATTTTCATCATCAAACACATGGATATATCTTATGAGTGGTTTGATATGTTTAGGCAATTGTTCACAGATCGCAAACTTGTCTAATATTGAGCTCATATTTTAATAATATAATATCTTCGGATAATTACTAAATTAATTGCAATAATTAGTAAATTCGTTGCATTCAATATAGGATATGGTAGTTATATTATACAGTTTTAGTGGTGATATACTTATAGCCTATTTCTTAAATAGGGGTTATTAATACTGTATTAATTTCGATACTCAAACACAATTTGCAGATATTAATAATTTATTTCGTTTTTATGAGAAATAATAACCTTTTCCACCTGCAAAATATATTTGCATTAAAAAAAGTTATGTTCTTATATAGTGAGCTTTTAAAAACAAAAGGTTTAATGTTTTACTATTTTATAATATAAGCTATACTTTGAAATTAATGGAGATTCAGATAAATGATTAAGAGTTATATTCCTATTACACCAGGGATTATAAACCCTTATCAAGATATTTCATGTTTGACTACCGTAATTAGCATAATTTTTAAAGTTTATTTACAACGTCGGCCTTCAATGAATTTATATATATTTTTTGTTTCAAAATAAAAATTATTAATCAAGTTAATTCAAACATAAAAGAATTTATTTATTCAACGAATATATGTAAATATTTGAATATTATAAACTCAAATAATGATTTTGTTAACAAAAATATGAAAACATAAAAATTTTATATTAATTTTGAGATTCAGATTAATTTTGAGATTGAGATTCAGATTGTTAAGATAAAAAAATTGATCCTGGGTGCGATTTCAAAAAACACTAGTCGCTGGGAGTTTAAGTGCAAAACACCGGAAACACCTTAAGTTTACACAATATTCAACATTTAAAAAATCTACACTACATTTCAAAATACTTTCAATAAGTTTTTCATTTTATACTTTAGGACATATTATTTTAAAACATAACATCCCATTGCCTAAGCGTTATAACTGGACGCCGACACATTGCCTCCCTTTCCGGTCCAGTTTGTATGCACCCATTTGCCCGGCTGGGACACCAACTCGTAGGTATGGGCGCCGAAGTAGTCCCTCTGGGCTTGAATCAGATTAGCCGGCAGTGTATCGGAACGGTAGCCATCGAAAAAGGCCAGCGCTGTACTGAAACAGGGCGTCGGTATGCCTAACAGGACCGCCTGCGAGACCACCCGTCGCCAAGAGTCCTGACATTTGGTGATCTCTTTGTTGAAGAAGTCGTCGACCAATAGGTTCGCCAGTTTGGGGTTATCGGTGAAGGCCTGCTTAATGTTACCCAAAAACACGGACCGTATGATACACCCTCCCCTCCACATGAGGGCTATACCGCCGTAGTTCAGGTCCCAACCAAACTGTTTGGCCGCCTCACGCAATAACATGAATCCCTGGGCGTACGACACGATTTTCGACGCATACAGTGCCTACAGAATTGACATTTCAATGTAATTGTTATTTAGTATAATTCATAATATTCTTGAATTCTTAATTGTATTAATTATATCAGGAATGTCTGTGTCAACAATTATTAGCACAGTATAATTAATCATATTAGCGTAATTGACATTTCAATGTAATTGTTATTTAGTATAATTCATAATATTCTTGAATTCTTAATTGTATTAATTATATCAAGAATGTCTGTGTCAAAAATTACTAGCACATTATAATTAATCATATTAGCGTAAAAAAATATTAGATTAAAAATCTTAATACTAATTTTATCATATATTCAATATATTAAGATATTCAATTCAACAGGATACATTTAAAACTCAGAATCTAAATTATTAGATTAGAAATAAATATTATATTTAATTAGTAATCTTAAGAATATTCTTATGACACATAAAAATACTAACTTTTCTAATATCATCGATGAATTGTGTCTCATCGCCACTAAATCTAGTAGTCGCCGGCCCTTTCAAAACACTACTGGCGCTGACACGCTCCTCCTTCAGAGAGGACAGACACCTCGCGAACACCGACTCCCCAATCAGTGTAACGGGAACTCCATAATCCAGCGCCGATATAGCCGTCCACTTGCCCGTCCCTTTCTATACATACAAATACAAAGAATATTCCATATAATAAATCTTATAAATCGCACCGGTATTTCACAAATATCAGTCACAACATACCTGTCCGGCAGAATCCCTAATCTTAGTGACCAGTGGCTCGCCATCCGAGTCCTTAAACTTGAGTATATCTCTCGTGATTTCGATGAGGAATGAATCCAATTCAGTGGTATTCCATTCGGTGAATATGTCGGCCATTCGGTCGTGACTTAAGCCCAGGGAGTCTTTGAGGACGTGGTAGGCCTCGCAGATCAACTGCATGTCCCCGTACTCTATGCCGTTGTGGACCATTTTGACGAAATGTCCGGCCCCTCCATCGCCCACCCAATCGCAACAGGGCTCGCCATCGGCCTTAGCCGCCACCTTCTGGAATATGTCCTTAATGTGTGGCCTACGTGGACAGGTAGTTTATGAGAAATTAGTATTTATGCTACCATTCCTTATCAAATTAATACCAAATTAATATTTATTTAAAAACTTGTATGTATCTATTAAAATATAATATAAACTACTATTTATTGCAACATAAGAATTAATTTAAAGAATATTCTGTATTATAATATAAGCTAGGTTAATATGTAGTAAATGACTAAATCCCTAAACCACTGTATTATAATTTAAAAGAATATTCCACTCAAATAATAAATAATATTACCAGTATAATAACTATATCTATAATCATAAACCCATACATACCAGGCCTCGGGATGTCCTCCTGGCATCAGCGATGGTCCATATCTGGCACCCTCTTCGCCACCACTAACACCCGACCCCACAAACAGCAATCCCTTCCCCTTAAGCTCTTTGCACCGGCGCTCAGTGTCGGTATACTCGGAGTTCCCGCCGTCAATGATGATGTCCCCGGACTCCATGTGTGGCACCAATTGGGCGATGAAGTCGTCGACAGCTGATCCGGCCTTAACCAGAAGTATGACACGTCGGGGTCTTTTCAGTTTGGACACCATCTCCTTAATACTGTGGGCGCCCACCACTGACTTCCCTTTGGCCTCATTGGCCAGGAAGTCGTCCACTTTAGAGGTGGTCCGGTTGTACGCACACACCTAATAGGCACAGGTATTTCAGTTAATCAATCCTAGTGTTTGCACCTGTAGTTTAGGCATACAGTGTGTATGGCATTTGTCATAAATCACTCATTCATAGCTCATATGTTTTTAATTAAGTTTTGATTGAGTTTCAAATGGAAATGATTTTATAAATGTTTAAAAATAATTTGTTTTAAATGCATTAATATTAGTCTATTATTTAAGGTATTTATTGTCTATTTAAAAAATAATTTTTAACTAATAATTTAATTTTATAAAGTATTTATTAATGAACATGTTATCCGGTCTAATTTATTAAGTTAAGAAATGGGTGAGGCAATTTAATAATTATTTTAATATCGCAAGTTTTGACAACTAAATATAAGTTTTATCTTAAATTTTAACACATGTTTGGCATAACATATAAATAAACATCTAATGAGTGAGTGATATGTCTTATAATCAACTGATCCGGGTGATATATATACCGTGAATCCATTGTC